AAAAAAAAAAAAAAAGAATATATATATGGCTACTTTATAAATATAAATATATATATATATGTATTTTATTATTATACATTTTCAGAAAGTAGCAATATATAGCAGCTTCTGCACAGTGCCTTCACACTTTTTAATCTTGGGGTATATCTTCATAATGTTGATGAAGTTTACGTTGATTTACAGAATATGAGCTTATAATTAATCAAGTGATTATAAAACTGGTATTAATTTTAGAAGCCACTGCCAAGTAAATATCAATCAAAATGAAAACAACTTTTTTTCTGAAATTTTGATATGGATTGATGGATTATGTATCTGAAAGTACTATCAAGTAACTGGCTAAGGAAGTGCTATGAAAGTTCTCACCCACAAGAGGCTAATATCCTTGTGCTGTCTAGGAATACAATATATTTGTACTTCTAACGAAACCATATTTTATTTTTCCCCAGTGGTGATCATTAAATATCCTGCTTGGTTTAAATGTAAAATTTCAGACATTTTGACATTTTTTTCCATTCCATGATGACCTTCTACTGTGTTAGGATACAACTATAGGCTGTTGAAGAGAAAGCTTATTCAATATTACTCAAAACCAGGTTCACGTTAGAGTGTAGCAGATAATTTTTAAAAAGACATTCCTATATTTGTTGTCAAATTATTTAAGTTTTTGATAAACAAATATTATAATGTATGTTGTTGTTAAATGCAAAAACCTTTGCACTTCATAACCATGTAAATAGGTAAAAATTAAAAAAAATTATTATACTATGGAATGTATCAGAAGCACTATTTTATTGAGTTACTTTTTGTAGCATCACCTCTTTTAGTGATAGAAAGACAACTTTTGAGATGATGCCAGTACTGCAGGTTAATTAACAAAGGAGCCCCGGTAGACCTGTAGCTTTATTTTTTTCTGTAGAGAACTACATGTATGTAGACAAATACTATGTGCATTTGAATTGGAAGGGCAAGTATCCTACACCAGTTCTTTTTGGATTTTGGTAGTCTTTCTTATCTTTCACTGTTAGGATCAATGAACGCTCCTAAACAAAACTAACTAATGACAACTTCATGGGTTGAAGTGGCTTTAATTCTGCACCATCTCCTATAGTAGTCACTATTTCAATGCTAACCTTGCAGAAGCGTGACAAAGTACCATCTTCCAGGACGGCGCACTCAACTCACAAAAGCTATCAGTTTATATGCTCTCCCTTTCAAAATAACCACATCTTGTAATTTGACCATATGTGTGCACAACCTTTTCTTAGAGAAACTGAACTTTTCCCACATGTTGGTTTTCCTCAGAAAGAAAAATCTTATGGGTCCCTATTAGGGAGGAGATAGCATTACTCAGCAAGTGTGGATTCTGGAACTCAAAAATGAAAAGGCAGCTTGCCAAGCAAACAGGATGTAACTGATGGTGAAAAGTTTGTGTGGATGTGTATGAAGAAAGATGAATGGAATCGTCAATAAAAATGTTGCACCTGTAGCCTGGGAGGAGCAGGGGGATGCAGAGAGCGCCTCAGCATTTGTGCTGGCCCAGTCTCTTGGTTGGTTATCAGAGCATGTGAGCCGGCCAAGCCCCTGTCCTGTCCTGGGTCCAGGATGTGCACACTCACTCCCTCAGCACTGAGGTTTCAGCAACATGTAATGCCTTAGCCCCATGCATTGCCCAAGAGAGCACTGGTCATTAAAGATCAGTGGGAGGCCAGAGGATCCCTTGAGGCCAAGAGTTGGAGAACAGCCTGGGTAACATGACAAGACCCCCTCTTTAAAAAATATGAAAAATTGGCCGGGCGCGGTGGCTCAAGCCTGTAATCTCAGCACTTTGGGAGGCCAAGGCGGGCGGATCACGAGAGATCGAGACCATCCTGGTCAACATGGTGAAACCCCGTCTCTACTAAAAATACAAAAAACTAGCTGGGCGTGGTGGCGCGTGCCTGTAATCCCAGCTACTTAGGAGGCTGAGGCAGGAGAATTGCCTGAGCCCAGGAGGCGGAGGTTGCGGTGAGCCGAGATCGCGCCATTGCACTCCAGCCTGGGTAACAAGAGCGAAACTCCGTCTCAAAAAAAAAAAAAAAAAAAAAAAAAAAAAAAAATATATATATATATATATATATATATATATATATGAAAAATTAGCCAGGCATGGTGGCTTGTGCCTGTAGTCCCAGCTACTTCAGAGGCTGAGGTGGGAGGCTCAGTTGAGCCCAGGAAGTGGAGGCTGCAGTGAGCTATGATCCTGCTCTAAAGCCTTTAATTCAGAGAGAGAGAGAGAGAGAGAGAGAGAGAGAGAGAGAGAGAGAAATACCACTGTTTATGCAAGATATACCGGTAAGGACAAAAGGTTAGGACAATGTCACCTTCCCTAAGATTTCCTTCCTAATTTCCTGTTTCCTGAAAAAAGGACTATCCTTCTAGCAAGGTAGAAAGGTAGTCAAGGGTACACTTCCTTGGCAGGTTACAAAATCTGTGTCCCGGAAAACTAACCTGGGCAAAAAGAACAGGAGAGGGTAGGTGAGTAGGAGTATTTACGGTAAAACCAAGTTTTCTTTTCTCTACCTTCAAACTGTGATTGAGAAATGCCGTAATTTTCCATACGTTATTTTAAATGTTGCCACTTTGCAGAACTTCATCATTTTCACGAATAACTCATATTTTGAATTGTGAAGAAATTGCCATCCAACCATAAGAAAGATTCCAATATTCAACTGTCAGCTCTTCTGACGGGTCCTTTTTCAAGACCTCTACCCTCTCCTCCGTAGAGGACCCAGATCCCAAAAGGCGTTTTTCAGACATTCTCTGTCACCTGCGTATTCCTCTATTAAGCGGCCTTACTGATCTTTGAACTCTTTTGCTTCCTTAAGGCTGGAGAATTTCTTCCTCAACTCCACGCCCACCACTGCTCACCACCTCCCACCACGCGCTGGCACGAGTACCTCAAATGGGTCCCGGGACTCCCGCGGGACCTTCTGCGTGTTTCCCGTAGATCCTTTTACAAGTAGGTGCGTGCGTGGGCGGCTACTCACCGGTCTCCCTCCATCCTCCCTCTCCCTTTGCTCAAGCTTGCAGCTCCTCTCATAGGCCGCCAGCTCTGCTGGACTAGGCCTGTGCAGACCCTTTTCTCCCCCTCTCTTCTGCCCTTCCTCCTCTCTCCGTCTTCCCTCCCACTCTCTTCAGTCCCCTCTATCTCTCCCGTCTCTTCTCTCTCCTCTCCACTTTTCCCTTTCTTCTCTCTGCATTCTCCATCTCTCCCTTCTCTCTCTTACCCCGCTTCCCCTTTCTCTCTCTCTTAGCGGGTCCCTGTCTTCCCCCTTCTCTCACCTCTTTTTCTTTAGCTCTCCATCTCGCTTCACTCCCTGCCTGCCCGATCACTCACCTTTCATTAAATGGATGCACAACACGCGCGCGCGTATATGCGCGCGCGCACACACACAAGCACACATTCCCCTCTGCTTGGTCACTTTACCCCACCCTGGAAATCGAGGAACCAGAAGCCTGATGTGGTAGTAAGAGCCTTGGGGGCTGCATCTGAGTCTCTGAATACCTGCCAGACTCGGCGGGGTCGCCTCATCGTCCCTCGCCCCAACTTACTGGCAGAACTCCACCCGCTCCCAGGCGCTGCGCTAGGCGTGGGCAGGACCGCGGAGAGCACTCCACGCCCCGCGCAACCCTGCACGCACGTGGGCGCCGCAGCAGCAGGTGCCGGGAAGCAGAGGCAGGGCCAGAGCCGGGAAGCAGGGCCCCAGACTGGAGCGCTCGCCGGACTCCTCTCATGGCCCTTTTTCCTTTCCACGGCCTTTTGGGGCCACTCCATTCTTCACAGCTCAGCGTCTGCTACTGACCACCCCCCACACTCCGCCATTAGGTCTTCCTACTCCGGCTTCTTCCCCCCAGCTGCGGCGCTGGTGCAGGTGGCCCGGCTGGAGGCCTTTGTAGTCCCGGGTCCCGCGGGCTGGGCTGTGGTCTGCGCGGGCCGCGTCCGCAGATGCCACGGAGGGAGGGCCGGACGGAGCCGGGAAGGGGAGGAGGTGCCGTTGCGGGGCCCAGGGAGGGACTCCCGCCGCACCTCCGCGCTCCAGCCCTTCGCTGCGCTGCCTCGCGGCGGCCGTTATTTTGTATTTATTGATTAGCATGTTACAAGCCTGGGCTCTTCCGGTGATGTTTCCCCGCAACTCGTGTCTTCCAGACTTTAACGCGCCGCGCGGGCCTGCAGAGGAAGTGGCGTGGGGTCGGGGGTGACCGTGTGCGCCGTGGGGTGGTTTTAAACATCTCGAGGTCAGGAGTCAATTACAACTCGAGGTGGGGAGGGGGTCCTTTGCAAGAAGCCCGCATCTTTGCGGGAGCAATTTGGTGGGGGGACCTTGGCACTGGGCCCGGTGCTCCGCAGCGAAACTTTTACTGCCGCCTTTTCCTGGGGCGCGCCCCTGCCTAGTCTCCCACGCTGAGCGCTGAGTCTGCGGTGAAGCATTCGCCCCGGGGAGACAGGGCGAGGGGGCGCCCGGTTCCTTTAAGCGGATGGAAAATGAGGGGTGGGAGTCAGAGAGTCCACAAGGTCTAACCTTTAAAAAGTGAAACACCAAACCCCACAAGGGATTTTCACACGATGGCCCCTCCCGCTTCCACGCCTTTCGTCCGGCTTGAGGATCCGGCTCGGGATTTGGGGCTGCATCCTCCTCCCGCGCTCCGGCGAGCGGAGCCGCCGGTCCCAGCCGGGTCCTCACCCCCTTCCCGCCCCTCCCCCAGGCCCGCGCGGCGGGGATGTCCTTGCCGCCGCCACCGCGGCCCCATTCCGCTGCGCACCAGCCCCGGGGCGCCGGCCGCGCGCAGCCTCCCGATCCCACCCGGGCTCCGGGGGAGGGTCTCGGAGCCCCGAGCCTTGACTAAGGCGCCCACTTGGCAACTCTGCTCTCTTCCGGCTCTTTCCTCCTCCCTCCCTTCCCCGCCCCCCCGCCCCGCCCGGCCACCCTGGCTCCCCTGCGCCGCCCTCCAGCCCGCCTCCCAGACGCCCACCCGCCCGCTCCTCTTTCCGCAGGATCCCAGAGGTGGCGCGCAGCCCGGCGAGCCGATGACGGACCCCTTCCTCCTGCCTTCAATGCCTCAGCGGAAGATCCCCAAGGGCTGGAGCGAGGAGCGCTGCCGCTGGACGTCCTCCCGGGGAGGCTGCTCCGACCTGCTGCGCGGCGCGTCTGAGACTGGGGACTGAGCCCTCCCCACCACCGCCGCCGCCGCCGCCGCCGCCGCCGCCGCCCGCTCCGTCGCTGCCGTCGGTCTGGACTGGCCCCCCAACTCGCTGCGACCTCTGCCCGGCCCCGGCCCCGGCCCCGGCTTGGGGCGTCCCGGGGCTCGCCCCGAGCCCGCGGCCTCCCGCGCGCCGCGTCCTCCCGACCCCGCGGCGGCGACGATGCCCGGGAGGAGGGTCCTGGCGGCGGCGGCGCGGATGGTGGCGGCCGGCGCCCGGGTGTGATGCGAGCGTCACGGTGGGGATGCTGCTGGCTGCGCGGCGCTGAGGGCCAGGGAGAGCGAGAGCCAGCCCGGGGCGGAGGACGGACTCATCCGGATCTGGCTGCAGCGTGGGCTCGGAGCTCCCCCTTCCTTTCGGTCTCCCCCTCGGTCCCCTTTTATTTCGCTCTCGCTTGGCGTCTTTAACACCTCTCGACCCGTCCTCCCCCCGCCACTGGAAGTCTTCCCGACTCTAAATGGAATTAGTGGAGCCCGGAGCCTCTGGTGTAACGCACAGACATGATCCATGGGCGCAGCGTGCTTCACAGTGAGTACCCTGCCCGCCGCGCCCGAGCGCTCCGGAGCCAGCCCTCTCGCCCGCCCCTTTCCCGCGGCCGAAAGCGCAGGAGAAGCCTCTGCCCCGCGCTCCGGCGGACCCCGCAGTCCCGCGCGGGTCGGGGCCGACGTAAACTTTCTGTATTGCAGCATCCTGGACCGTGGCGTGGGGGCGGCGCGCGGTCAGCCGTCGCCCGGTCCCAGAACCTGCCGGGGTGAACCGGCTCTCAGTGCGCAGGAACCCCCCGGGGGCTGAGAATAGCGCGCAGTTCGGGGATGGACACGTGCGTGTGGCAGAGACTGGCCCTGGCGAGGGCGCAGGTGGAAAGCGGGAGGGAGCGGGGATACCTAGTGAGGGTAGAGGAATCTTCCTCTTCCCGGGGCTCCCGGAGCTCGGGGACCCTTGGTCGCACGCAGTCCTGGAGGTAGCCGGGGATGCACCTGAAGCCAGCGCAGAGGGAAGGGCGAGGGTCAGCGTCGACCCCTTTCTGCCCAGGATACCGCTAGCGTCGCTTTCTGGGTGTGTGGTAACGCGGGCAGTGTAGATGTGGGAAGGAATGAGAGGAAAATAGTATGACGAGTCATCGAGTAAAAGGCAGCATAAGAAACTGTGTGGTGGAAATTTGACATTACTAAGCAAAGATGAGAGTGTGGATTGCGGGCCACGCAGTTAAGAGAGGGCTTTGCTGATGAGTTAAACACAGTACAGGGTCCATAATGCGATTTCAGCAAAACAGGAAGAGCGGAGTAAACAAATACCCATCCTGATGCTGAAGGATGTGTACCTGTGTGTTCTGGGTGTGAGCAGAATCATGACAAATTAAATTGATTTTTTTTTCCCCCGTGGAAACACAGTAACCACAGCAGCCAGTGGCTTAATCTAACATGCAAATGACCTGGCTAGAGAGTAATACACAGTTGATACTTTTTAAAATATTAATATTAACACTTAAATACCTTTCTTAGAATAATGTTTAAGTATAAATGTATAAGCCTCTATGGTGAGCTTTAATTGAGGAAATATTTGTGAATTATGCTCTCCCCTCCATTTCAAGTGTTAGTATGAAAGCAGACCTTTTATATCATTGGACAACAAAATGAATAAGAGAAATAAAATACAAGAAAAATCAAATTATGAAGACTAGAATACTTAATATTTTGCTAGTTCTTCATCTTTTAAAAATGTTGATTAGATCAAGAATATGGAAGTAAAACAAGTTTAGATTATAATCGTACTGCAGCTTTACCGTTAAGTTACAGATCAGAGTCTCTTTGACACTGGAAACCTGACTTGGTAGAATGCTTTGGGAAATCACCTCTCTCAAATTAATAGTCTATCTCCATAGATTGATTTGGTATTATATCAAAGTTAAGGTTAGGAGAGATTAATTTCACAGCTTAGAAAGTGCTGAGGACTGAGGATGGGGTTACTTGGAGGTTCAGAACATTTTTGTAGGCAACAGTCTAATAATGCTGCTTAATGCCCACAATCCCCATTAATCTGCTTCTTGCTTGCTCCCCTCCCCCACAGCCTGTAGGATTTGTCTTAAGTATTTATTTTCTAAAATACAGCCACACTGCAGTGTGTCAGGAACAGTCATGGAGCCTTTCTCATCGTTTGCCTCTCATTTTCGCCTTCTGGCCCCTCTCTTCCTTCAGAGATGCTAGCAGAGCCATTCCCTAAGGGTAGTTTAGATACAGGGGGACTCCTGAAGTCCCACTGTAATGTGTGTGACAAGAGTGAATTGTCATGTTGCTTTTATAGTGAAGGATGTTTTTGCATTAGGAATTTGGGTCTCATCCCTTCTTAACTTGTGTACTTTTTAAGGAAGTCCCAAGGTTTCCTGATTTGTACATTTCAAATCAGTTTATGCAAGTTCTGAATCAACTTCTAACAGTTAACAATGATACAATTAATCTGCTTTGATAGTATTTTATCTTGAAATTGCGTTATGTTTTTATGGAATTTGATCATTTCTGTGTATTTTATCTCTAATTTTTCTTTTCTGTTTCAGTTGTAGCAAGTTTAATCATCCTCCATTTGTCTGGGGCAACCAAGAAAGGAACAGGTGTGTCTACTTAGAAAAATGCCATTGGAAGACCTCGAATTATTTTGTGGTTTCCTATTTTTCTCCTACATTTAATATTCCAGAATATCTGAACCTGTTATAATGTGTATAATTGATTGGTTTGGCTAAAACAACATTTAAAAATTAATCTACTAATGGATATTATAAGAATGTCCTCTCTATTTTTAGTATTATAGAAAATTGGATGACGGTTCTTTTTAAAATATTTTTCTTGTATTTAACAGAAAAGCAAACCACCTCAGAAACACAGAAGTCAATGCAGTGTGGAACCTGGACAAAGCATGCAGAGGGAGGTATCTTCACCTCTCCCAACTATCCCAGCAAGTACCCCCCTGACCGAGAATGCATCTACATCATAGAAGGTAAGTGCAGAGAGCCCCAGAGTTAAGAGAACACTAGAAACCTGGCCATCTCTATGCTTTGGATGAAGAATATGCGTATAGACATTACAAAACTGATTTGAAGATCATGCGCAAAAATATCTCTGAGTGAGTCAAATAACTGTAAAATTTGGAATCAGGCTAATTATTGAAATTTTAGTAATGAGTTATGAACAAGCAAAGTCTGTGAAATAAAAACAAATGAACAACTTAAGAGTTTATTTTGCAGTTGATTTAATTGACGTAGAGTTCTAATGCAGTAGGATGGATGCATGGTTGGCACAGTATTACCTGATGTATAACAGTTTGAGAAACCAGTAAAATTTTTAGTTCAACAATTATTAGAATAACCTGTATGTTACTTTTTCTTTAATATTATAAAGTACAAAAATCGTATTAACGTCAAAGATGAATCTATAATTACATTTTCTAAACAGCAGTCTGAAGGATAGTTACCTTATTTGTGTTAAAAAGTGACATCTCATTTTAAAGTGAAGGTCAGGATTGTAAATTACGACACTTACTTTCATGACTTTTTTCCAACATGAAAGATAAATGGCGTTGAAAAGAGACGTCTCTTTGAACATTTCCCATTTACACTGACCTTGTAAACACCTCTCTCTTTTATTTTATTTTTTTGAGATAGAGTCACTTTCTGTCACCCAGGCTGGAGTGCAGTGGCATGATTTCGGCTCACTGCAACCTCCGCCTCCTGAGTTCCAGCAATTCTCCTGCCTCAGCCTCCCAAGCAGCTGGGATTGCAGGTGCACACCACCAACTAATTTTTGTATTTTTGGTAGAGATGGGGTTTTGCCATGTTAGCCAGGCTGGTCTGGAACTCCTGACCTCAAGTGATCCACCCGCCTTGGCCTCTGTAAGTGCTGGGATTATAGATGTGAATCATGGCGCCAGGCCAACACCTGTCCCTTAAGTACAGATTTTAAAATGTGGAAGCATATCATCTGGTGATGGGAATTTTCAGTATTTTAACTGTTAATACCTAATGAGCTAAAACTTGGAAGCACCTACCCTCCCACCCACACACAGACATACATGCACACGCAAAACTATCTTAATGAAAAAGATATATGCATTTTCTACTACATAGAAATCAGGGACACATTTATTTGATAGATTTTTCAAAGAAGTGGCCGGCTTTCGGTTTACCTAATTTTAAGAATTTCTATTTAGAAATGATTCCTTTTTGGTAGTTATTGGGCCATAGATCTTCCCCCACCCACTTTGTACTAGAAGTTGGACTTTCAGCAAAGATAAATCACACTGTAAGAAGGTAAAACAATAAACAAGCTATGCCATTAAAAGGATAACTAGGAAACCTAAGGTCTGGAAGTGCAAAGTCCTTGTATGACTGATAGAAAAGGAACTTGCTACTCGCCTCACAGGACTTGCCAGTATGCTCTGGGGCATCTTGCTAGATGCCCATTTCCCTAAACAATCTAAAGGGTCCCAGGATTAGCACAAAGTAGTTGGAACAGGGAAGCCAAAGAGAAGAGTACAGGGAAGAAGAGATGCTCACCTTCACTTTTGAAGAATGTCCAAGAAAGGCATCGTTCTCTGCATAGAGTAGCTTGTGCAAAAGTTCAGAGATATGCTGTGGTTGGAGATCTGCATGGAGTATCCTAGGGCTTCTGCAGAATCTGAGGAAAAGGCAACGGAAGGCTGAAGAGGGAGGCAGTCTCAGACAAAGGAGTAGCCGGTATTCCTTCTGTGCCTGCTGGATGAAATCTTAGACATTGTGCTATAGACAATGAGGTACCATTAAAGTAACTTAAGTAGACGAATAATGTGTGATTTTGATGAAGAAGTAATCGAAGGAAACTAAGAAAGAACTGCAAAAGCCCAAATAAGTCATAGTAAATACTTACACTAAAGAAGCAGCATCAGTGATGGAGTAAATGAAAGAACTGAGAGATCCAGTTTATTTAATAAACTGGATCACGAATGGCTGGATCAGGGAGTCAGAGAATAGGGTATCCCAGGACTGTTCTAATGTTTGTTGCTTGATGACTTGTTAGACGGAATTGCCATCACAGAAAAGAAATACAGATGGAAAAAATTGTTTTAAAGGAAAAATAATGTCTTTAGTTTGTGTTTATGGAGATGTTCCATATAAAGATTAGGTACATGTAGCTCTACCTGTGTGGAGAGATAGTTGTGGTTGGAAAATGTATATGTATAGGTCATAGAGATTGGTGTTGAGATTGTTAGTGTGAATAAAAGTATCCAAAGAGAGTATTTGGAGCACTATTTTTCAACTCATTAAAAAAAAAATTGCAGATGCCTGGCCCTTTCCCCAAGAATTCTGATTTAATTGGTCACAGACAGAGCCACAGGCATCATTATATTGTAGTATCATTCCATTGGAATACCTGTGGCAACCTGGTATCCTGGTCTAAAATGAGAGAAAATAACATGTAGAGTAGATTTCTGGAAAATAACGTGTAAGAGATGGATAGAGTATGGGGAAAGGTAATGGACTGAGTAGGAGAAGCCAGAGAGTTAGGCGGGAGAGTCAGGTGTAGGATGCCACAGCAGCCAGAGTGCACAAGGGCTCGAAAAGCAGGGAGTACTCAAAGGTCAGTTGCAGCAATAAAAATAAGTGAAAAACAGAAATTCATGTTATATGGAGCAATTAAGAGTTCGTTAGTAACTGATGAGCACTTCCATTGGCATAGTGGAGGTGGGTGTTTTTTCCTCTTTTAAAGGGGCAGATTGCACATCTTTAATTCTAAAATGAATATTCTGTAGAGAGCGGTAAATTGAAAATGGAAGAGAAAGAGGGATACGTAATTGGTCAGATTTCCAGATACTTGATGGAGATGAAGAATGCAGGTGAGGTCTTGGTCATGATAGAGGATCCCTTTATGAATGTCAGGTGATCTAAAAATTCCCTCAGAATGGAAGAAATATTCTCTACATATGTGTACACTCCAGGTTCAAGTGCCCATAGTTTGCAGTGCATCTGAAGATTCTCAAAGTGGTTGAGACCTCTCATGAACTAACTTGTGTTAGAGCAAATGTAACTTACAGAAATATTAAAAGGAAATGTAGCTGTGAAGGAAATTCTTGAAGGTGAAGCAAATTGAAGTTGAGAGAGTTAGACCTAAATAGCTTCAAATGGTTTCTGTGTGCCATAATCACTCATTTTTTATTGACCACAATAATTATGTGGCAAACTTAGTTTTAAAAAGTTATTTCACAGTCAGATGCAGTGGCTCACGCCTGTAATCTCAGCGCTTTGGGAGGCCAAGGCAGGCGGATCACAAGGTCAAGAGATCAAGACCATCTTGGCCAACATGGTGAAACCCCATCTCTATTAAAAAATACAAAGATTAGTTGTGGGTGGTGGCGTGTGCCTTTAGTCCCAGCTACTCAGGAGGTTGAGGCAGGAGAATCACTTGAACCCGGGAGGCGGAGGTTGCAGTGAGCCGAGATTGTGCCACTGCACTCCAGCCTGGCGACAGAGAGAGATTCCGTCTCAAAAAATGTTTTCTGAGGAACATTGAGAGGTTAACTAATCCACAGAACTTATGTAATAATAAGAGTGAAAGTTTGGATAAGTGAATTCATGTTAGATGACCATTATTTCTTAGTAGGGGAAATTGGTGAGCGTGTGTTCACAGATGATAGAGTTCTAAGTCAAGTAGCTAAGGACTGTCCTCAGTGCTCTGTCATTCCCTAGCCATACTTTATTCACATCTAAAACTAGTTATCCTATAATCTGAAATAATTTATTTCCTTATAAAACTTGTCATAATGGTGACTGTTAAGTAAACAGGTAGATACATGCTATCAGGCTGATAATGTATGCAAGTGATATATTTAGTACTAATACATAAATGGGTCCAAGTCTTTCAGAATTTCCCTTTTTGTTATAAGGCTAACACTTTAAGCATAAAACGTAGTTATTTCTTTGGGCACTTTCAAATTAAAAAAAAAAAAAGCCATTGAAAGTTCCTCAAATCTGTCATTATTGTGGTTACTGTATTTGCTGACCTTTTTGATAGATAGTGATGGATAAAATATTTTTCTTGCATGAGCTATAAATGGTCAATTTTCAATGTGTGAGTCAGAAAGGTTTTTCAGAAATTAAAAATTATCCATAAAACAATTCATTTTAAAAATTAGTTGACCTTTAATCTGTTGATCTTTAATTTTGTATCTGGAGAGCACCAGAGTTACATTTTATTATGTAAATCTCCAATTTACAAATTACCACATATCTCAATATTACATAAATTTTTGAAAACCATACATCCAAGAGTTTACTTTTTAGGTCATCATGGATGATGTTCAATGTATATTTAAGAAGCAGTGGGGTGTGGACAGCCACCATTCAGCATGGTTGCTGAGCATATAGAGAGCAGGCCTGGCTGTGCTGAACCTTAACTTTCAAGTGTCTAGAGGGGTTAGTGCCTGAAAAGGGCCAAGTAGCAGGGCTTCAGGCAACAGCTGTCTACTAACCAGGAGACGATATGCTGATATTTCAACAAACTTTATGGCCGTTCTGGAGTATCCTGGCTGAATGTAAGTATGAGATGCCAGAATTTTGGACTGTTTTGGACATATCAAGGGAAGAATGAAAGAACATTAGCAAATGCATTCCTGTGGTGCTGTATAGAGTTGCCAGCTGTATGAAACTTTCCCTCATGCTTTAGGGAGCTGTAAAAACACTTATGAAGATAAGCTCATTTATAATTCACTCAAAAAGACTTTTTATATGGAAAATTTCAATGACAAGTACTATGCTAAGTGCTGAGAAAGGAGGTGAGTGAGATATGGTTCTGGTTTTTCAAGACAGATTTAGAAAGGAGGCTTCTTTAAAGCAAGTCTTTTCTGTGTAAAAAGGAGGTAACAGTGGGTATGTAGATATTCAAGAAAGTAAGCAAATCCATGAAAGTCTGAAAGAGCATACTTTCTTAGAATGCAAGACATGTTTGAAGTGGTCTGAGCTTGGGATGTCTGTGAGGGGAGAGGGCCTTGGAAGCAAGATATTCTTAATGGGTCACCATGTGTGTTGAATGCATTGATCATGGGCCAGCTGCTGAGGTTTAAACCTCAAGAGTGATGTGATCAGGTTTGTGGTCTAGAAAAATTCCTCTTAATATCCTTGTACATGCACTTGGATCTAACCTAGACACATGTCTGGGACTACTTGAATGATTGTATTTAATATAACTCTGCCAAACAATTCTGAAGTGATGTGTGACTGCAAACCTGTGTACTCCTGGAAATAGGAGAAAAGAGACAGAAAAATGTCCCTCAATCTTCTAACCCCAAGTTAACAGCCTTTTATAAAAGTACTGTGCTTTGTTAGTCTTGCACAAAACATTGAATGGTCATCTTGTGTCAGAATAATGTTTTGTGAACATCATCGGTTTTAAGGTTCACTCCTTAAACATTTTTTTAAATAGTAGAATGGTATCAATGCTTTTTTTGTATTTCCATGCATATCATCCATAAAGTTTGAGAGAAAATGAACAGATAATATCTGAAATAGAATCAGAAAATATTAACCTGGACGATTTAAGAAATGGCCTCCCTGACACAATCTTTCTTCTTTACAGCTGCTCCAAGACAGTGCATTGAACTTTACTTTGATGAAAAGTACTCTATTGAACCTTCTTGGGAGTGCAAATTTGATCATATTGAAGTTCGAGATGGACCTTTTGGCTTTTCTCCAATAATTGGACGTTTCTGTGGACAACAAAATCCACCTGTAATAAAATCCAGTGGAAGATTTCTATGGATTAAATTTTTTGCTGATGGAGAGCTGGAATCGATGGGATTTTCAGCTCGATACAATTTCACACCTGGTAAGTAAAGACTTTTTTTTTTTTTAAACAATCTGTTTCTTTCTTTTTCTCATTTTTCTGTCTTCATAGTACAAAGTCATTTGTAAGACAACATGATAATTTTTCAGAGAATTTTCAAGTTCTATTTAAAACCAAACCTACTTTTTATTTTCACTACATAAATTCTAAAAGGAGAAGATGTCCTCCTTAAAACAGCCTACACTAGAGGTGAAGAGTAGTGACTCGGAGCTCTAAATGGGCATCAGCAACACCATCAAGTGGATTTCTGTTATGATGGAATGTGTAATTGGAGAGACCGTCTGTGATAAGGAACCTAATTATTCATAGGGACTCAATAAACTTGAAAAGGCAATTGTAGTATTATAAAATATATCTGCCAAAATTATCTTTAGGGAACTTGAATTAGAAGTTCATTTGTTCTGAAAATTATCATGTTTCAATCTAATAGATCCTACTACCAAGTAGTCTAATCTGTTTTCAGAAATGCAAATTCTTAAGAATTTTGATGAAAGGAAAACAGACCTGTAGCAGCCAAATCCTCATTTGTAAGTTCTTGCAGATATTGTGTGCGATAATCAGTTTATGCAATCTGTCTCAATTTTCCTTTTAACTTGCTAGCATTAAAAAAGGGTCTGTGATGTTGACTGGCTCGAGTATGAGTTATCACTCATTATCATAAAATTGGTTATCACATTGTTTTCACTGCAAGAGCATCACATGCATTAATTTAAATGGGAAAACGATTCAAATTACGTAAAGCCCATTTTTATATAGTTAGATTTTTTTCAATTCATATGTATTGTTTTATTTAAGTTATAATAGGCAATAGGAGGATTTGAAATATATGTAAACTTTCTTGAAGTCTCTCTTTCATGTTAAAGAAGTAACATCTACACAGGGCTTTGATACTCCGTTAAAAAACTAAAATTTAAAACATTATTAATATAAGGTTAATGATGACTTTCATTACGACATTATGGCGTATGTTAAATCAAGTATTAACTGTGGCATATATATTAGCTTTGAGCAGTAGGAATGTTTTTAATAATACCACTAAAGGACTGTGATTTTAATTATGCTTTGCTAATAATGGATTACTCACAGAAATCATGGGTATTTTATGTGCTACAGTTGGACTAATTTGAAGCATTCCCAAAAGGTACAAATGTTAGCTTACTTTCTCTGCCAGACGATTAGTGCTAGAGTTCTAAATGGAAAGGTATGTATTCTTTTCTTAACTGATAATTGTGAATATAACCTATACCTAGAGGCAGTGACGTATGGTATGGTCTAGGTTTCATAAGTTATATTTTCATTCTGAGTTTGGTGGTCATGAAAATAACGTCTTGGATTTAAAGTTGTGGTTTCACAATGAATATAGTGTCAACCGTCCTGCTTTGTCAACATGTGCAATGCTATCCATGTTTCTGGCTCTATTTGAGATGACTAAACGGTAGCACTCAATCTGTTCTTCTAGGTTTTAAAAAGCCTTTTTGCTCCAGGGGTATTTTTTTTCTTTGCTTTTTGTTTCTTTAGGGCCACCATACTACATTTATAGAAGGAGATTTTATTGCTGTGAACGACTGAATCTGAATGGAACTCTAGGAGATTTTTCCACGAAGTAGGACAGGTTAAGATGAGCTGAGGTTTCTGTTTTCACTGAGATCAACTAGAGCAAAACTTCTGAGGAAATCTACATTTGGCATAGAGGGAAAATTGGTACCATAAAAAGGAGACTTGGAAAACTTACATGACAACAAAAGTTGACATTGTGTGGCCCAAGGCCATTTGAGATGACATAAATCCAGTGACATGACTGTCTACAATTCTTTAGAAAGAGGCAGTATTAAGGAAGCCAGTACTTACTGAAATAAGAAGTGGGAAGGGATTAGTAATAATTTAGACAGCACTGAGGGAATCTGAGGCCAGGCAGGCTTTAGTTGTCATTTTGGCTTAATTTTTATTTAGTAGTGTGCTTCAACTCATGACCTGGGGAAATTGAAGGAGGAAGAATTTCTCAAGTCAGTTTGATGATTTATGGGTTTTTTTTTTTTTTTTTTTTTTTTTTTTGAGGCGGAGTTTCGCTCTTGTTGCCCAGGCTGGAGTGCAATGGTGCGATCTCGGCTCACCGCAACCTCCGCCTCCTGGGTTCAGGCAATTCTCCTGCCTCAGCCTCCTGAGTAGCTGGGATTACAGGCACGCGCCACCATGCCCAGCTAATTTTTTTTTGTATTATTAGTAGAGATGAAGAATTTCTCAAGCCAGTTTGATGATTTATGTTATAAAGCATTGCGAGAATTTCCAGGGCTCCCCAGTGGACTCACATTGGAGATGAAAATCTGTTTGCCAAGTCACCTTAGATAGAGAGATGATGGTCTCCTGGACAGCTGCAAGGAGCACTGCCTTTGAAACCAGATCTAACTTCCATATCTGGCTTTGCTTTTCTTTGCATGATGTAAACTTTGAACACAGTCATTTATGTTCTATCCCTCAATATTTTAGATTTTAAAATAAAACTAATGTCACAGAATTGTTTGAAAGACAATTAACCAATGCATATTTATGAATCTTTTGAGTGCCTGTCGGATCTCAACTATCAATAGCTGTTGTTTTTATTAGTTTGATCATGTGCTCTTTAAAGACAAAGCATGCTTGGTATAGGTTATTGGGAAAACAAGTGTCTCAGACTTAAAAACAATTTCCTGAAATTTTTAGGTGGGTGTAAAAAATTCATACTTATACCTTGTGACTTTTTTTCTAGTTTAGGAGATTTAGTTAGTTTAGATGGGCCTTAGACTCCCAAGTGGGGATTATAGTTACTTTTTTTTTTGAGACGGAGTTTCGCTCTTGTTACCCAGGCTGGAGTGCAATGGTGTGATCTCGGCTCACCACAACCTCCGCCTCCTGGGTTCAGGCAATTCTCCTGCCTCAGCCTCCTGAGTAGCTGGGATAACAGGCACGCGACACCATGCCCAGCTTATTTTTTGTATTTTTAGTAGAGACAGGGTTTCACCATGTTGACTAGGATGGTCTCGATCCCTTGACCTCGTGATCCACCCGCCTCGGCCTCCCAAAGTGCTGGGATTACAGGCTTGAGCCACCGTGCCCGGCCTATAGTTACTTCTAATGGCATTCATAGAATATATCAAGGCAGAAATAGCAGCAGAAAGGCCAGGTGGTCTCTATTATTTTAATGAATTTATCACAATCTGGAATCAAGATGTATTCTCTCACAGTCTCAGAAACTTATAGTCTCAGAAACTTTATGTCAACACATTGAGAGTTTACCCATCTCTTAGAAATGAATCACATTTGCCAAGCTAACAGGAATGACTATATGTATATATGTAATATTTATACATACATACATACATACACATAGTAAATACACATATACATTTTCTATAAGAATTCTTAGAATCACACAGCTCATTTCTTCCTGCAAGCAAACACATGGATAGGCAGATTATGATCAGAACATTGCATAGTGAGTATGGAATCCAGATGTTGAAGATTAGATGCATAATATGCATATTTCACTAATATTGAGCTAAAGTTTTGATGATTAATCTTCCTAACACAGATTGTTTCTTCCAGTGGTGCTTTAGCCCTCACACTGCTATGGATTCCAGTGTCCCGTCTCCTGGCTCTATCTTGCCTGACTAGCAAACTAATTTGTATAGACTCTTATCTCCAACATTTTTTCTATTTCCTTGTATCTGAGTCTCTAACTTTCTTTTCTACTGAACTTAAAATAATACCCTTTCAATCTGAAGCTCTTGCTGTTCCCAGTGGCCGTGCTTCTGAATTCCCATTGGTACATGGGAAGAGGCGAACTGGAGGTCCTGCAGGGATTTGGAGGATAGGGAGGCAGGGCAAGAGAGGATACCACAGAAACGGGCTTAAAGGAGGCCCTTCTTTTTCTCCTGGCACATTTTTATGAATCCTCACTTCTTGGTTTGCTGACGGTTATTTTTAGAGACTGTGTCATTACCCAGGTCCACAGTGCAGTGATGAATCACCTAGGATTATAGACTAGCATGCATAAGGAGGATTGTGAGATTGAGCAATAGTCAAGGAGAAAACAGCTGGTTCATATCCTGGAGTCTGCAAAGGACAAGAGTGAGCTTAAAGAAGGGCTAGCAGGTGCAAAGCCTTGTGAGCACCTCACGGACAATGCCCTGAACAGCTCTCTTCTTTCTCTGTAGTGAACTCTCCTCTGCAATATGCCATCGCAGTTCAGAAAGAGAAATAAGTGCAGAATCACTGAGAATGTTAAAAGTTACACCACAGAATATTTGATAACTCCGAAAATTTAATAAAAAACAGAAGACATACCAAAGGTGTTTATTGTTTTAGAATTATATTGTTTTCTCACTTCGAAAGAGTCTTTAGACAAGTTTTAAATCACATTTGGTAAAGAAAATCAAATGACTAGAAAACATGTTGTGATACAAGGAATTTGAAACGGTAACGGTGACCTCAGGTAAGGGATAGCAGGAAGAGGGGAACGAGGAGGATTTTATGGGCCAAGATGGAGTAAAAATTGACTCAACATTATTGATAATGCTTTAAATTTTGAAAATAATAAGATATTTTGGTATTACTTTTATAGATAAATTATATAAGATCAAAAAAATAGAAAAGACTATGCTTGATAATTTTTAATGAATTTTTAGAAGAGGGAATACCATTTTCCATATTTCACAGATTTTTTACTCAAACTAAGAATGCCTTTTGAGCAGAATATAACACTTCCCTGCAGCCAACTGCCTTCTTGCATACATTTTCTTTCCACTTGAAAATGTAAGGAAGAAAATGTAACAGTATCTACTGTATTCCTCATTCTACTGGTATGACCCCACTGGCATTCAGATGCTCTGCTCCTGGAAGGTCACCCTTCCAGTCTCTTTAATGACAGGCATCTTTTGTTGGTCTTATAGTTTACTTCCTAGTGGGGAGATTTTCTGCTATTTACAGACATAGAATGGGTGTTTATG